CCTGTCTCAAAAAGACAATAAATAAATAAATAAATAAAAATAAACCCAGTGTTAGCTCTGTTCTACCGCTGTTCAGAGACCATGTAGCAAGCAGGTGGCAAAACCAACTTTCAAACTCAAGTCTAACTCTCCATGGATAAGGAAAAGAAGGCCAAGGAGAGGCGGTTTTAAAACACAGTGGAAGACCCAAGAGCCACTTGAATCTGTCCTGAGTTTATAAGACTCTAATTTTGACTTAGCAACTTCTCCTCAGTAGGTATTCATATACATTATTTCATATAAACCCTGTAGCCACCCTATAAGTATTTCCTGGCCACATTCCACAGAGGACAAAATTGAGTTCACAAAACTCCACATGTCACAGCCAGTGAATAGCAGAGTGGGACTCAAAGCTGGATTTGCTGCCATTACAGCTTGCTTCCCAGGGACAGCTGTGCCCCACACACACTGAGTTTGAGTGGATGTGTAAATGTATTTTTGCCCCCTGTGGAGACCTGTGATTTAGCTTTGATTGTAAATATTTAAATAGTAAATATTATTATTCATAAAAGGCTTACTGTATGCCAGCTATTACATTAAAATTTTATATACATTATCATTTAATCTTCATAATACTCTTCCTGTAGGTAGGAAAAAGAGGTTCAGAGAGGTTAAGTGACTTGTCCTAAGTCACAAAACACAGTTTTGGGGGTTTTTCTGTGGGTCTTTTGAGGTGGTTGTCTTTTGAGACAAGGTCTCACTATGTAGTTCAGATTGGCCTTGAACTCACTTTGTAGCCCAGGTTGGCCTCAGTAGAGTTCCTCCTGCCTCAGCCTTACAAGTGCTGGGATAACAGGCATGTGCCACCACACCTGGCTACAACACAGCTTTTAGTAGCACAGCTGGGATTGTAACTGTCAGGCTCCAAACTTGCACTGATAGATATCTCTCAAGCATCTACTGAGTTGCCAAGCTCTGTGATAGGAGCTAATGAAAATAAGTTCTGAATAAAGCTGACGGGTTCAGATCCTGTGGAGCTTTCAGCTGGTGGGAAGACAGGCAATCACAACTGGACACTGAATCCTGGTGGAATTACAAATGGTTAAAAGGTGTAATGAAAAAGTATAGGATGTTAGAGAATGTGGGACAAGAGGATCTGGCTGTGAGGGATAAAGGACAGCCTGAGGGTCAGAAATATAAGCAGATGCTTGCAGGAGCCCTCAGCCAGGCCCAGAGGAAAGAAGAGAATGCTTCCAGGAGAGGGAGCAACCTGCACAGTAGTTCTGAGGCAAGAATGTCCTTAGTTGAAGCAAGAAGCAGGGAACCCTGGAGAGGTCAAGATAAAGCCAGGAGGAAGTGAACAGAGGTACCTAGGAAACCAGGAGGTCTGCATGTGGATTTACATCTTACTCTGCACATAATGGAAAAGAATTATAAGGGTTTCAAGAAGGGAAACTGGAAGGTCAGATTTGTATTTTAAATATAAGGTCTCAAAGCTGGGCGTGGTGGCACACACCTGTAATCCCAGCACTCGGGAGGCTGAGGCAGGAGGATCGTTGTGAGTTCAAGACCAGCCTGGGCTACAAAGTGAGTTCAAGGCCAGCCTGAACTGCATAGTGAGACCCTGTCTCAAAACAGACAATAAATAAATAAATAGTCTCAACACTGATCATTCTGACCACATGAGAAGGGGCCTGAGGGGCTTCTGGGGAGGTTGGTCAGTGGTCAGTCCCAGAGGGACAGCTGAGCTGGCTCTAAAGGGTGGGGAGATGTGTCCTAGGCTATGGGCTGAAATGGGAGATAATTCAGTTCCCAAAAGAAGGTAGAGTACACAAGACAGGGGGCCCTAAAGCAGAATACAGAGGAATGCTACATTTAGAGCAACAGAAGATAGAAAGAGCCAGCTCCTGAGACCTGTGCAGAAGTGAGGAGGGAGTGAAATCCATCCACATACGATAATGCCCAGATGAACCATCAGAAGTGACCGTCGGTAAGGGGGGAACAGGTCCAGACTGGTATGTACTCTCAGCTTATATACTTCTTCTTTTTTGAGACAGGGTCTTGCTGTGTGGTCCAGTTGGCCTTAAACTCACTAATCTCCTGCCTCTGCCTCCTGAGTATGGGGATTATAGCATGTACCACAATGCCTGGATCATCCTATATACTTTTAAAGTCTTTAGATACATATGTTATTGTTGAGAATTTTTCAAAAAGGTCTGGGCATGATGACGCATGACTGGATTGCCACCTCCTCTGGAGGCTGAGACAGGAGGATCACAAATGCAAAGTCACCCTGGACAACTTAGTAAGACTTCAACTCAAAAAAAAATTTTTAATGACTCAAATATGAAAAAATTTAAAAGGATTGAGGCGGTAACTCAGTGGTAGCGCACTTGTCTAGCATGTGTGAGACCCTGGTTCAGTCTCCAGTATTGCAAAAAATAAAATTTTAAATAATGAAGAATATGTTGCCAGGTGGAAAGCCAGGAATACCATAGAGTGTCTCTAGACCAGGTCTAGATGGATTAACAGAGACATGTCTTCAAAACCTTCTGAGTTTGAAGTTCTTGTAGAACAGTCTATGCCACATAAATGCCTTTTTTTTTTTTTGAGACAGGGTCTCCCTACGCAGTTCAGGCTGGCCTTGAGCTCTTTTGTAGCCCAGGCTGGCCTTGAACTCACAATGATCCTCCTGCCTCAGCCTCCCAAGTACTGGGATTACAGGTGTGTGCCACCACTCCCGGATCTTCAATGCCTTTATATTTTCTTACCAAGATCACAAAATATTTTATATACTTCCTGTACATCATTGATATATTTTTTACATAGTATTTTTTGCTTCATATCCAACAAACCTATAGTGGTGATTATCTGTGGAGACATAAAGCTGATATCCTACTTTCTCTTTAGGTGAGTGAATCAAGGTATTACTTGAATAATTCATAATTACTGTTTCAAATAAAATGCTCATTGGATTCTGGAGGTCCCTGGGTACCGTGGTAAGAGGAAATTCTTCAGAGTAGTAAGCGTAGAGGCTGGAAACAGCATAAGGAATAATGGGCCGGAGGGGAAAGAGGAATGGCACCGTTGAATGCAGACGACTGTGCTGAGTTTGGCCATGAGGAGGAGCAAAGGACTGGGCTAGAAGAGGATGTGGTATCCAACTTTTTAAGATGGGAGGAGGCTGAGGGAGCCAGCCAAGAAAGTGCAAGGGTTGCAGGCAAAAACGAGGACACAGGGTCCTCAGGGAGGAGGCTGGGCGGACCAGAGGCCTTGTGCAAGCTGTAGCCAGTGCCTCTGACCCTGGAGCCTGTCCAGTGGGTGTCTGTTTGTACCTCCAGCCCTAGACCCTCTCATGGCGGACCCTTAATGCATGTCCAGGAAGGCATGGAGTCATTAAGCATGGCCACCCACTATAACCAACCAGAAGAGGGCAGTCTCTGCCCTTTAAGAAAAGTTGTAAGTCTAGGGCTGCAGTACGGTGCCCTGGTTCAGTCCCCAGTACTTACCAAAAAAAAGTTGTAAGTCCAGGAGCCACCGCTCAGTAAAAACAGAAAGGGTTCTACGACCCCACCACAAGGAGGAGATTTAGGCCTCTCCTCACCCTTGCAGTGAAATGAGGGCATCCATCATTAGCCACGTGCCAACTCAGCCACCCCTCCCCCAGGCACTGGAAAAAACAATAGCAACAGAGTCCCAACGCCCCATCGCTAGGTTCAAGCTGCCACCTCCAGCGCATGACCCTGACAGGTTACTCAGTCCCTGTGCCTCGTTTCCTTTCATGCTGACTTCATCTCTGCCAGGCTGTTGTCAGAATCAGACCTCACAGGGTTGTTTCAAGAATCAAATGAGATCATGTACAGAAAATGCTTGGCAAAGCGCCTGGCACTGCAGACATACTTAGCAATGTAGAAGCTTCTAACAACCACACTGTCTTTGAGATCTTCCGATGCCCTAGCACCCCACAGCTGTGCCCTTTGGAGTCCAGCTCCTGAGGCTCGAGGACCAAGTGCTTCACCCCTGGGCTTCCAGAAGCAGAGGACTCTAGTCAGTGGGTTTGGTCCTGTCCTCTCCCCTGGACCAGGGATCAAAGGATCCTACTCCTTCTCACCCATGTGGAGGCCCAGCATGCTGCAGGAAGCAACAGAGAGAGCAAAAGTCCTGGCTCTGAAGTGTCTCCCCCCGGGTGCTGCACAGGTTCTACCTAACACAGGCATGAGTCAAGGCCGGCAGTGAAAGCACAAGGAGGAGACACCTGTCGACCAGGAAGAGCGTTAATATTTGGTCCCTGGCAAAGGTTAACCTGCTCCTTCTGTCCTGCCCCTGTACACACCTCTCCCCTACCTAGACTCAATCCAGCCCCATCATTCTGACCAGGTTAGCTCTCCTCCAGAAGTACCTTCTAGAACTCTCCTCCCAGCATCCAGCCACACTGCAGATGAAGGCTTAAAAGGGATTCTTTCAGAACAACCATTACTGTCAGGAAAAGGATGGCAATGACAATATACAGACCAATGTTCCTGAGCAGGCTCACTCCCATCTCAGGACTTCACACTCGCTGTTCCCTCTGCCTAGAATGCTCTTCCCCCATTTATCTACCTGACCTGATTCCTTGCCTCCTTCAGATCTGTATTCAAATCTCTCCAAAGCCTTCTTTGCCCAAACTGTCTAAAACCACGATCCTCTCAGCCCACATTCCCTACTTCCTATTATTTATCCACAACACTGACCATCTGAAATACTATATACTTTCATTATTTAATTTGTCTGTGTGTTAGAAATCAAGCTCTATGAAGGGATGGCTTCTTTCTTTTATTCATAGCTAAGTTCCCACCTACAGTAGTGCTTGGCCCCATAGTAGCTGCTCGGTAAATATTTGGCTGAATGAATAAATACATTCAAAGTTGTACGCTGATGAAACTTCACAGCTTAAAAGCTTTTCATCTAGTAAGAGTGGAATGAAAACATATGAACTAAGCATGCTACTCAAGGACAGCAGAGCCTGTCTTGACGTTCTACTGCCACCCTACCTAACACATTTGTCACAAAGCTATAGTTCAGTGACTACTGAGTAGTAGTATATAAGCAAAGTCAATCAAAAGACAGCAACAAAGAATTAAGACAACAGCAGAGAGGCCAGAGATTTAGCTCAGTGGTGCAGTGCCTGCCTGGCAAGTGTGAGGTCCTGAGTTCAATTCCTGGTACCACCCCCCAAAAAAGAAAACAACAAAAAAAGAACAGCAGAAATCAAATTAGAAAGACTGTAGAATTGCCAGCAATGACAAAGCCCTAAAAGCATCAGTTAGGAAAATACAGTCACACATTAACATTATAAAAGTAAAGATAAAATAAAACCAACAATATAGACGTGGTTTTCTTTTGTTTTAATTAGAAGAACTTGACACATAGCTCTATGCCAAAACATTTTAGAGCTTCCATTAAAAAGTGACCCACCTACGCAGAAACACACAAGGTCCCAATGTGGAACTTCCAAGCTAACAAATTCCATATTCATTTCTTCCTCCCCTATCCCTGGAGCATCCTCCTGAGCAGGTGGCTTTCCCAGAAAGCAGAGCACCCCTGCTCCCCAGGGCCTACCCGCACCAGAAGGGGCACGCTCCGTCGGCATCAAGGGTCAATGCAAGGGTAGGGGCAGGGGCTCACCTTGTTGACACAGCTGAAGCCCAGCCCCAGTTCAGCCAGGACTTTCAGCACACCCAGGCTGCTGTTGCACTTGACAGAGTAAAAGGGCCGGACTCGTGGCAGGCACTTCAGAAAGCAGAAGTGCTTCCTCACTATGGCACCCAGGTCAGCCACGAAGAAGGCAGCGACCTCATCCTGCACAACAAAAGGTGGACGGATGTGAGACCCCTGTCAGCTCTACCCTGTGCATGCCATCCAGTCCTTCCAAGTCCCTGCCCCAGTTCAGCTCTGGCCACAAAGCTGTAATGTTTTCTGCTGCTGTAATGTTTTCTGGCACTCCCCAACCCTACAGCATAGAAAGCCAACTCCTTAGCCTGGCATTCAAGGCTCTTTCACCTATAGGCTGTATCATTCCCCCCACCACTCCCAGCTCAAGTCTTTCTTCTCTCTAAGCCATGCTGTCTGCTGGCCTTGGCCATCTCAATCTACCTTCAAGTTTCAGCTCAAATGCCACCTTCCCCAAATCTATAAGGCAACTTGGCTTTTAATGGTTTTGTTGCATTTTTGTGTTTTCAAAACATCTGAACTGTATACACATCCATCTGCCCCAGTTCCTTGAAGGCAGCAGCTGTGGCCTAGAGCACACTGACTGTCACATACAGGTATTCAGTGAAGCCTTGAGGTCATCCCACTGCCACCGCAAATCACGCTGGTGGGCAACTGGTCACCAAAGACTGGCTGATGGCTGAACATGTATGAGGCTGTAGGTGAAATCAAATTATTGAAACCTTCCCTGGAATTCAATTTCCTTTTTATGCCATACTTTTTAAACGATGCCTACTGGGGGTGAGACATAATGCTAGGGGACAGAGGTGACCAACAAGGCTTTAGCCCTTGAAGGGACTTTAGGTCTGGAAGAGAATGAACCCTTAAGTAATTACAAGCCCCTTGAATAAATGTTAAGTGAGAGTTTCTACAAAATGTATTAGGATCCATAGAAAATGAAAATATACAATCTGCCTGGAGCGATCAGGAAAAGGAAACGCTGGTAAGAGCCATGGTAGGGAGGGTGCACACAGCAGCCTCAGAAATAGGAATAGAGCACTTCAGTATGATGGAGCATAATAGAAACTGTGGGATTGTAAAGCCCAGAAACGGGGCTATGGAAGCAGGCTTGATTTTGTAGCAATGGGAAACTGCCAAAGAATTTTGATTTTAAGCAAAGCTGCCATACAGTTGGAGGAAGGGAGTGATTTAAACCAGGAGATCACGGGCCTTTACGAAGGTGAGAACTAGACTACAAAGAACATTTTCCATGAGCTCCCTGGAGGGCTAAACAAGCAGAGTTCACAAAGCTGGGTGAAGCCTGGAGTTGGGAGGGGAAGGAGGTGGTGAGGGAGGAGGTAAAGGAGGGCAGAGGTTTCAACCTGAGGGCTGGGTCGGTGGTGTTGGTGCTGCTTGTTCATCAAGGCGGGGGTCACAAAAAGAGTGAATGGGGGGTTTGCAAGAATCGGGGATAAAATGAGCCGATGTCTTCAAAATAGCATGGATTGAATACCAAAAAAGTGAAAGAATGAGGGCCCTGCTGGAGGAGGGACCGGGGGCCCACCCCCATTCCCAACCCCTCACCGTGGTGGCCCCTGAGGCCCCCAGAGTGAGCTTCTCCAGCAGGTCTCGGGTGCTGAAGCCCTCCTCCACCATCACGAAGTCCGATTCACTCAGGTAGCCAGCCATGCCAAGCCCAGCAGGAGTCCGGTCGATGGGCCGGATGGAGCCACTGCCGCTGTCGCAGCCACCGCCTTAGAAAGTATGCAACACACTGCGGGGGGTAGGGTGGGGTTACCGCTGAGGAGCAGGCTCCGCAGCTCCCTTTACCTCCCAGGCCAGGGCTCCCAATCCAGTCACCCACCACCCTGCCCCCAGCACAAGCATGAAGATCTTAAATTCGCTGGGAAGGGTATGCCACGGTCGGGAATCCTGGATTCTACACTGGGACAAGGCTTTGTATGTTCGGACGGCGCACCTGTCACAGCCTCAGTTGCCCTATCTGTAAAATGGATGACTTGTTTTTGGAGCTCTTTAACAATTCTGAAATGCTGAATTCGGGAAGAGGGAAAAGAATGAGCGAGGGAGCAGGAAGTTTGAGAATCCTGGGTGAGGAAATTTCCAGGGTGCCCTTGTCCTGACCGCGCCCACCCAGAGGATGCCAGCGGCCACGCCAGAGGTTCTCCTCCACCCGAAAATGGGAGCTTAGGTTTGAATTCGCTGTCTGCTGCAGGACCACCCGCCGTCTTCGACCGCTCTCAGTGCCTCAGTTTCCCTGCTTGTAAATGGTTGGACCTGACGTGCTAGAACCCAGGCGTGCATGAGGGACCCACATGGTGGGCGGGATCCGCGAGCTCCCCCGCAAGAACTAACGACCGAGGTTCTATCTTGGTGGCCCCTCTGGAGTGCAGGATCGAGGTCCCGCCCCCAAGCCCCCCTTACCAAGCCCCGTCCTCCTTCGCGGGGGCTAGAGCCAGGCGCGCTGCTAGGGGGGGTCGCCGGTGACCTCGAAACTTGTGCAACACTCCGAGGAGGAGTGGCAGTTGCGGAGCCGAGGCCCCTGCTGAAAGGAGGCAAGAGGACGCAGGGGGAAGGTTAGCACTGAAGCCGAAGGTGCCCGCTCCCCGAGGCTCCCGGAGGCTCCCCAAGCCTATGCCCCTGCACTCGCCTTAAAACGCATTTACACGGCTTCGGCCCATAGGTCTCCCCAGCGAGTGAATCGGATCCTCCGCGCCTCCGCTCGCTCGCTCCCCCCGGCTCCGACCCGGCGGCCTGCGCCCCGCGCGCCCAGTAGCCACCGGCCCCCACGCCCCGCCTTCGGCCCGCCTCCCGCTTATATAAGCCACGCCCAAGCCCCACCCCTGGCGGCCAGGTCCCGCCTACGCTCTCTCCGTAGCCCTGGCAACCGAGTGCCGCCGGCCCATTGGTCGATTGGAACATAAAGCATTCAGCTCTACCTGCTGTCGCGCTGCAGTCCTGCCCGCGGAGCCCTCTCGGTGGCTACCCACGCGGGGAACTCTGAACCGCAGAGCTCTAACATCTACTCGGGTAGGACCCTTAGAGCCTGCATCTTGGCTCCAGGAAACTTTATCTATCCCTGGCTGAACTCGGCGATGTTTCTGTCTTCTCTGCCTCGTGGAGTGCTAGCTCATCCTCGGGAAACCCAGGTCAACTGTCATCACTTTGTGTTCTTTTCTAATAAAATCTTTTTTATTTATGGCCTCTTCTAGGCTTCTCTGACTTTACCCACTCAAAACCCAGCTCGAATGTGTTCAGAAGGCCTTTCTCTTTGTGTCTTTCCCTGCTCAGGACGATTCCTCTCTCCTTTGCTCTCTGAATTCGACAAACTTGTAGTCCTCAAGTAAAATTTGTCTCCTCCAAGACGCTGTCTTTGACTTCAAAGCACTTCTCCTTTTCTACATCAGCAAACTTCTGCTCTGGCTCACCCACCAAAGTCCAATACAGTGTCACCTCCTCTGTTACGCCTTCCACGGCTTTTCCAGCCCCAAGGCACAATGGAACCAGGAGCATTTATGGCGAACTAGATAGACTCCTTATTCTTTAACTCTTGCTCCCCATAGCTGAAAGTCCCGTTGCTGTTTTCCACTTGCTGTCTGGTGACACTTCTCAGCTGTTTTGTGACTCCCAGACACAGGGACTGACAGCTTGGCTCTTGAGGGTGCTCAGTGCAAAGCATACACAAGAGTGCTCTGCAAGATTCAATAGCTGTGTTACTCAAAGCTAATTCAAAAATTCATACGGGGGCTGGGCATGGTGGCACACACCTGTAATCCCAGCGCTTGGGGAGGCTGAGGCAGGAGGATTACTGCAAGTTCAAGGCCAGCCCGGGCTACAAAGGGAGTTCAAGGCCAACCTGCACTGCATAGTGAGACCCTGTCTCAAAAAGAAAAAGAAAAAAAAAATCATCTGGAGCCAGGAGTGATGGTGCCCTGGATGCAATCCTGTGTACCACAAGAAAACAAAAAAGTTCATCTAGAACAATTGTTCAAGAATAATCAAGCCATTCTTGGTAAGAAAAAAGAGAGCTTCCCCTACCAGATATTCAAAAATTTTTATGAGGCCACAGTCTTTAAAACAGCATAGCAGGAGCTGGGGATTTAGCTCAGCGGCACAGCGCCTGCCTGGCAAGTGCAACATCGTGAGTTCGATTCCCAGTACCGGGGAAAAAAAACAAAATAAAATAAAACAGCATAGCACTAGAACAGGAAGACAGTGGTAGAATAGAATGTAGCCTGGAACAGTCTTGTACACGTGATGGGAGAACTTGGTACACAGTGAAGGCAGCATTTCAAATCAGTAGCATGAAGCGCTCATGTGTGTTCATGTACCTGTCTGGCTGCTGACTTTTTAAAAGACAGGAACACTTCTTGTCCTGCCTCAGTATCTCCCTAGGACACTCTGTACAACCTAATGTCACGCCTGACATCTGAGTGTCTTTGGTGAGTCACTCTGGCTGGACCCAGATCACTTCTGCCTGGCTTGAATTCTCCCTGTGAACTGAAAGCATTCAATGTCTCTGGCCCTTCTGCCTGAAAGCTTCATCCCTTCTATGTACAGGAGGCAGCCTGATAGGACAGTCAGGTTCTTGCTTTAAGAGATTAGCAGTCATTTGCATGTCATAGTTGGCAACAAGCCTTGTCTTCCCTCCCAAGGAGCAAGGTTCTCCTAAGAACAAACATCTACAGATTGGGACCGGGGTAGATGAGGACAGCCAGGGCATAAACCTTGGAAAGATGAGGCTAAGAGGAGGGAAGGAGCACCCAAACAACACTGGCTCTCACTTAAATCATTCTTTGAGCTGGCTTCCATGGACACCATGGTGTGGGTAGGTCTCATCAGCTTTTCCCATCACCTGGTATGTAATAGGCAAAAAATAGGTATATTTTTATTGAATGAATAGGCAAGAAGAATGAACCAGAATCCAGTCAGTCTATTTGTGACCTGTCAAGGATAATATGTAAGCAGAGCAGTAAGGTCTCTGTCCTGGATTAGGTATTGAGAGGCTGTGGCTTTATATTTTTTCCTACAAAGTATGTTATCCCATTGAATTACCATGACAATCCTATGTCCTAGAAACTATAGTTATTTCCATTTTACAGATGGGAGAAGTTCAGTAACCTGCCTAGGAATTACATAGCAAGTAAAGGTGGAACCCAGAGCCAAACTTAAATCTGGGCTAGAGCTGTGGCTCAATGTTGAGTTTAAACCCAAACCCAAATAAATCCAAACAAGAATGTTCTATATGTGCATTGAACTGGAAAGTTTGAAAAATATTTTCATGTCCATCATTTTATTGAGGCTTCCCCAAATTCTACCTATATTAATTTCCTAGGGCTGCCAGAACGAAGTGCCAATTACTGGTGGCTTAAAACAATGGGAATTTATTTTCCCACTGTTCTGGTGGCTGGATGTCTGCAATAAAGATGTCAGCAAGGCCATGCTCTCTTTGACAGTTCTAGGGAAAGCATCCTTCCTTACTTTTTCTAGTCTTTATCCTTGGCATTCCTTGGCTTTGAGTACATTGTTCCAGTCATGTCCCTGTTTTCCCCTTGTGTGTCTTCATATCATCCTCCCTCTGTATTTGTCTCTGAGTCCAAATTGTCCTTTTAAATAAAGACACTAGTTGTATTGATTATGGCCCACCCTAATGTCCCCAGTTTGGCTTGACTACCTTTAACAAAGTCCCTGTCTCCACATAAGGTCAAATCTGTGGGGGTTAGGACTTTAACATATCTTTTGGGAGAAGGAACACAATTCCATCCAAACTGGCACTGAACACTTCCTTTCATATATTTGGCCAAGACGTAGATGCATGGTGATATGTAGCTGCAAGGGAGGCGGAAAAGCATAGTCTTAGTTAGGTGCATTGTTGTTTCTCCCTCACCTACATAAGCTCAAAATACTTAGAGAGAGAGGGATAGTGAATATTGTGTGGTGACTGACCATCTCTGCTACAAGTAAGATTATTTTTCCCTTTTAAATATCAGTATACATAGTTTAGAATGATTATGAGATTTACTGTAGGGCCAGGGATATAACTCAGTGGCATAAGCACCTGCCTGGCAAGTGCAAGGTCCTGAGTTTGATCCCTGGTACCAAAAAGAGAAAGAAAAAAAAGAGATTTACTGCATAGGCAGAAGTAGAGAAGCAGTAAACATAATTGTATTTAGTCCTTAGAAAATCTTGTGAAATAGGCATTAATTGCTCCATTTTACAAATTACACAATTGAGATTAAATCCTTTGTCTAAAGTTACACCACTAGGGAGTAACAGCCAAAGCTTCACTCTGGTGAGATGTGCCCTGGGGATAGGACATGAAGCAAGAACAAAGAATGCTGAGACCAGGCCAAGAGCAAACAGCAGGAGACTTGAGCAGTGTCTGGAACTCAAGGTCAGACCCCAGATATACTGGAAGAAAGAGCACACATCCAAAGCCGCAACTGTAAATTCCTTGAAGGCATCGTGAGACGAAGGTCCTGCAGTAACTAGAAGCCAGAAACAGAGAAGCAGCCTTAGGACTTTTTGAGGTTGGAACTGTCTACAAGTTAAGGATGGAAACCAGTAGTAACAGTAGCTACTATTTACTGAGCACCTACTATGTTCCAGACACTGTACTATGTGTTTACTAATAACAGCTAATATTCCAAGAGTGTTTACTATTGTGCAGGCTTGTTTTAAGATTTATATACAACTTTTAACTCCAAATCTTTGCAAAGTGTGTGGTCTTAGTAATCCCAAGTTACTAGGGAAAAACAAGCCTAGAAAGGCCAACTAGTTGGAAGTCACACTGCTACTAAATGACACCACTGTATGACATACATTTTCTCCTTCTTTACAACAAGACAGTAAAGCAGGACTTAGTATTATTCCACAATGGAAAAATCAGGCCCAGAGAAGCCAAGTGATTTACCCAAGCTCACACAGCAGGTAAGTGCCAGAGCCTGGACTCAAATTCATGGTTGTGCATTGGTAAGGAGCTTAAAGTGGTGCAGCCTAGGGCTATATTGAAGAAGAGCCCAAAGCCCCAATCCTTGGAACCCCAAATTCTAGTTACCAGTGAGGTGTCTGTGCCCCCTGACCCAGCAGGCAGGTGGAGGGCTGGCCTGCACCAAGACTGAGGAGGGGAATTTCAAGTGCATCCATGAGGTGGGTGACTGCATTCACAGCGCTCCCCTAAACAGACTCAATACTCAGGTCCTAAAGCCCATAGTTTGGACTTGTTTGTGTTTATTTTCACTCCCTTTTAGGCTACACACAAATGTGAAAACTTAATAATAGTGTGTGACAATTAAGGAATCCACACACTTTCCCGTAAGCCAGACCTGAGTCATTTCTAATAAATGTGATGAGAAAACAACAACCTCACACAAGAAGAAGGAAAAAAAACCACTCGGCCAAAAATATCACTATCTGCAGCCTGTGTCTGCAGAGCTGCCTGAGAGTAAAGTGAAAAGGCTGCCTCCGTCCCCTGTGTTCTCCAGGGCTCTCAGGCAGCAGGGCCTCCGGGAGGGCTGTCAAAACACCGAGCTCCTGGCTCAGTAGCTCTGGGAGACTAAGAATGTGCGTTTCTGACAAATTCCCATGTTTTGCTGATGCCACAGGTCCAAGAACCGCACTTCGAGAACCCGCAGCCTAAAGGAACTTGAAGCATGGCAGGGAAAGATGCCAAAGCTGTGCGCTTTTTAAAAAAGGCATCAGACTCTCACCTGGCAGGGACACAGGATGAGGTATAAAACCAACTCAGACTGCACGGCGGCACTGTCTCTAGACGGTAGGCACACAGACTTCAGGGGCGTATGCGCATACGCGCTTCAGTCCTCACTGTG